TGGGGTCGTCGGGGATTGGGGGCGGGGGAGGGGATGTGTCGACGGGTCCTCACCTGAAGCCGGAGGTCGCCGCGGAAGGGTCCTCCGTCCGCTCGCTCGCTCCCTGGCAGAGGTCTGGGTGGGTGGCGGCGCGGCGAGGCGGGGGGGCGGTGAGGGATTTGAGACGGCGGAGCGCAGGAACCGAAGTGGGAGCGGGCGGCGGTGGCGCGGAGAGGAGGGGAATTCCCCACCAGGTGATAGAGAGAGCGGCCAAGCGTTTCGGGGGAATTTCGAAATTTCGCTCCCCCAGCCCGCGCTCCCAGTCCCACGCGCCCTGCACGTTTCTTTCTTCTTTTGTGGGTGGGCGACGGGTGGCGTCGTAAAATTTCGGCTCGCCCGGGACCGGGAGGGCGGGAACGGGGCTGCTTCCCTCCGCGCCAAACGGGGAGGAATCCGTTCATGATGGCGATTTTCGTCGGTTCCCTCGTCTCTCGCACCCATGTTTTTTGAGAAGTGCAGCAGAGCTAGCATCAAGCAAATGATGAGGCATATACTAGAGTTTTTTTTAAGAAGATGCGTATATTAGAGCTAGCATCAAGCAAACCAACAAGACATCGTGCAAATTCTCTCGCAGACCTTACGATTATCCCGTTGATATAGTCGAATGAAGAAGCGTCCGGAGAGGTCGACGTACCTGATTCAAAAATCAGCATGTCGTGCAGCAGTCCGTCGAGCAGAAATGCACTGGTCGATATCTTTATCGCGGCTCCCTTGCAGTTTCACACGACGAAAAAAAAGAAAATAGATATTGCTGCACAAAAAAAATGTGAAAAGGGATGAAAATGACATGTTCTCGCAAAAAAAATGACATGTGTGTTAGGAAAAAAAGTCTAATAACAACCATCTTAAGAGGGACAATTACATGGTTATACGAGCCATATTACATGGCCATTGGCACAGGAAAAGTTTGTTAAGAGCATCTACAGCCACAGATGGTAAATCCGGCCCCTCAAACGCCCGCGGACACGCTCGGGCGCGGCCGCGAGCAGTGACCGGGCACACCTCAAATTTCATTTGTTGCATCCGGACATCTCATACTCGATTCTTATATCCATACAAAGACATGCAAAAAGAAGTAGAATCTACGTACTACGTCGATCCTAGCTACTCCTCGTCAGAGATCACGACGATCTTCGTGCCCGGCTCCGGCAGCATGGGCGGCAGTTGCAGCTCCCGCCGAAGGAACGGCCGGTTGGCCTCCACATAGGCCTCATCCCGGATGGACTCCGGGATGGCTTGCTGCTCGGCCATCTCGTCGGACTGGGCGACGTCGAACTCTACCTCCATCTGCTTCATGTTGAAGGTCGGCACCTGCTGGACCGGCTTCTCCACCTCCTCCGCCTCCATCGAAGCCATCTCCTCCTCCTCCTCTTCCCCCGGCTACTCCTCCTCCTCCTCCTTCGGCTTCGGCGAGTCCGTAGGCAGCCCGGCAGCGATGCGGACAACACATGTGCCTTCCCTCGCCCGGGTCTGTTGTTGGATCTCATAACGGCGCTCCGGCGTCAGCATGGCATAGTACGTGAACTTGCTCCGGACCATGGTGGATCGGAGCGTTGGCAGAGCGCCGGAGCGGGAGAGGGAGGAGGTGGATGGGCTCGGACTGGTGGCGCGAAGAGGGGGAAGAGGGATGGGTTAGGGTTACGGGACGCCGGTCGGCTTAAATAGCCGAATTTCGACTTGGGCGGCGAGCCGGAGCGGCGCCACGTGGCGTTCACACTGCGGTGACGGACGCGGCGTCCGTCTGACCGTCGGGTTTCCGGACATTTCTGTGTGGGGCCATGCCGTTAGGCCGACGTGGCGGGCGTGCCCGGGAGCTCCCGGGCGCCCTCATAGCCGACCCATATTTGGGCTGGATATGAGGGGTGTCGGCCAGCCCGGACGTTTGAGAGGCCAGTCTGGGTAAAAAAAACATGACCGGGCAGTGATACGTCTCCTTCGTATCTACTTTTACAAGCTCTTTTGCCCATGTTTTGGACTCTAACTTGCATTATTTGAATGGAACTGACCCGGATTGATGTTGTTTTCAGCAGAATTGTCATGGTGTTATTTTTATGCAGAATAAAAAGTTCTCGGAATGACCTGAAATTTCACGGAGCTTATTTTTGGAATTAATAAAAAATATTGGCGAAAGAATCAAGTGAAGGGGGCCCACATCCTGGCCACAAGGGTGGGGGACGCGCCCACCCTGGGGCGCGCCACCCGACCTTGTGGGCCCCCTGGACCTCCACCGACCTCAACTCCAACTCCATATATTCACGTTCAGGAAGAAAAAAATCGGAGAGAAGGATTCATCGCGTTTTACGATATGGAGCCACCGCCAAGCCCTGTTCTTCCTTAGGAGGGCAGATCTGGAGTCCGTTCGGGGCTCCGGAGAGGGGAATCCGTCGCCATCGTCGTCATCAACCATCCTCCATCACCAATTTCATGATGCTCACCGCTGTGCGTGAGTAATCCCATCGTAGGCTTGTTGGACGGTGATGGGTTGGATGAGATTTACTATGTAATCGAGTTAGTTTTGTTAGAGTTTGATCCCTAGTATCCACTATGTTCTAAGATTGATGTTGCTATGACTTTGCTATGCCTAATGCTTGTCACAAGGGCCCGAGTGCCATGATTTCAGATCTAAACCTATTATGTTTTCATGAATATATTTGAGTTATTGATCCGATATTGCAAGTTATAGTCACCTACTACGTGACAATAGTCGGGACCACTCCCGGTGATGATTGTAGTTTGAGGAGTTCATCTATTCACTAAGTGCTAATGCTTT